CCTTTGAAAGCTGTTCTGAGAATTCTAGGTCTAACTCCTCCTCCTTCCTTGCCTCCCTTGGTCTCCAAGCTGTGACCCCCCCACCCAATCTTTAGTCCTTCTCTCTTGGCCCTGGTCTCACTCCTAGGCTACTTGAGACCTATGAGATCCTCTGGCCCCCCTTTCTCTGGCTGTGGCCCTTCTCAGCCTTTGCCCCCTATATCTGAGCCCCCATGCCTGGGTCAGCGAGACCTTTGGGGTCCCTGATTCTGATTACACTGACCCCTTCTGGGCTACAGACCACTGGAAACTCTGGGCCTGCTTACACCTGCCACTCCTGGGCTCTGGCCAGAATCCCAGTGACTGGGACCTGTCCTCACCCAGCTCAGACTTGCATTCCCAGGCCCTCCTAGGGCTCAGGCCCTTTCACTATGTCAACACTTCCAACTACATCTTTGATGACTACAGGCCCCTGGCCCTGTCTACTCAGCCCCTCCTGGGTTCCAACTCTCTTCTTCTGGGCCCCCAGACCTATTGGGACCTCCTTATTCCCTTAGTCCCCTTCCTCAAACCTCCAGATTTTCCTACTTTAGCTTGGGTGATACCCAGCAGCCCTGCTGCCAGGAGCTCTTCTTCCCATAGCTCTTAGGTATAGACTACTGGACCAGCTGAGGCCCTAGGCTTATATGCATCAAGCCCGGCACTCTTCTGGTCAGGTGACTCTTCCATTAACCCCTGCCACACCTGAAGTTTGCTTCTCAGGCAGCGTGCCTTCTCTTAAAGTAGCAGGAGCACCAAACCTCCTGATACAGTGCTCCGTTTGTTTTCAAAGGAAAGCTACCTCTTTCTGGAATAGTTTTTTCATTATCTATTTTCCTAGAACCTTTTTCCAGGCTAGGTCCTTAGATTACTCGTTTACCAAAGGAAACCCTTTCTGGCCAAATTCTTGATGTAAAAATAAGAGCTTTCCAGAAAGGCATTCTGTGGTGCTTGTAAGGCACAAATCATACACAGTGTGCTACGAAGTAGGAATGATGCAAATACACGTGTGCAGACTCCCTTTTCCTCATGTTTGATTGAGATATACAGTTTAATTGGGGAAAAGATCTAAGCCTAAGTTTCAGAGACGTGTGTGTCAAATTGTCTTTCAGAAGGTCCTAGAATATTTGGAAGCTTACAGGAATGCAATTTTAATGTCACAAATGTATGAACAAGACCTCCCAGGTGCACAGGAACTAGTTTTCTTATCTTATTTTTACCTGGATGCTTCTTTTTGAAGTTGCAGGTGTAATTCAAATTCTCCTAACAATATAAAGGTGACAAATGTATTTGATGATTGTTCTAATGAGAGTTTAAACCACCTTTTACTCCTGTACTGTTCATCAGAAAAATTAGTACAAAACCCACTCCCATTTATGTATGTACTGTATAGCCATTGAATAAGTGACCTTTTTCTCGGAAGGTACAAACAAGATACAATCTGAATGCTATAATTTATGCTGGTAAAGGTCTCTGCCTGTGCTAAGTTAATTGCACGATGTTACCTAAGAATTTAGATTAACTATACAGTGCAGAACTGGGGAAAACAATGGCAAATACTTCATTACATCTTGACTAGTTTATTTTACCAATTAGTTAGCAACAGACCTTTGGGCAAGGGACAAAAGTTACATATAAACTGGTTTAAGTGATCGCAAACTGTTTTTAAACCTGTAACAGGAGAGAAAGTGGTTCACTGCATATAAACCACTTTCAAAATGGCCAAACCTGTTTAAGATAAGTCTGATACTACACCTAAGCAGGTTTAACTGGATTTAGGTCAAAACAGTTTATGGGACTTCTGTCCCAGATCCCTTCCTGGTTCAAGTTAACTCACAGTCCCTTAGCATCCCACAATCCCTTGCAGCCCTGGGCTATGCTGTCTGCTCCAGTGGAGCAGGAGCTGCCTTGCCTCTCTACTACTTAGCCTATTTCCTCCTGCATTCATCAGCCCATAGAGATGGGGAGGCAGGGGACAGGCCCCCCAGACCTTCCTAGCCAGAGTCTACACAGCACAAGGGGGGAGGGAAAGCCCCTGTGGTAGGGTCTTTTGACCCTCAGCAGCCCCCCCCTTCCCAGCTGCTGATTGTTTCAGTGACTGTCACAGAAGAGAGGGAAAAGAATTGCTCCCCACCGTGTGTCTGCCCATGCAACCCAGTGTGGGGGGCATTGGGGAGCCCCTGCCTTGGGGGATTCCCCACCACCCCCAGCTTGAGGCAGCCCCAGGGAGCTAAGGGCACTTCTTCCCCTCCTGAACCCCAGAGCAGCTTGCCTCAGCCCCTGCAAGTCTCAAGCAACATCAGGAAGCAAAACTGCCTGAGTCTTGCAGCAGCTAAGTCAAGCTGCTCTGTGGTTTGGGAGGGAAAGAATTTCCCTCATCTCCCTATGGGGACTGTGGGCTGGGTTGGGGGGGAGTCCCCCAAGGCAGGGGCCTCCCAGTGCCTCCATGCTGGGCTGCATGGGCAGGCATCCGGTGAGGAGCAACTCTTCTCCCTACCTCCTGTGGCAGTAGCTCAAGCAATTAGCAGCTAGGAAGGGGCAGGGGGAGGGTATTCCCTTCAGCTCCCCACAGCGCCTGGGCTCAGGAACCCTGGGTGGGGGAAACCTCCTGAGAGGGAGTGTCCCCCCAAAGTGGGCCAGCACCTGGATAGGGTGCTCCTTAACCCCCTGTGGGGGGACAGCAGGTGTGTTGGGGACACTTGGCTAGACTGGCAATGGCCAGCGGGCTGGGACAAGTGCTCTAGAGCCTGCTGCATATCAGTTCAGTTAGTTTTCAGTTCAAGTTATGCAGCTTTGAGGAAGCTACCTAAGTTGAACAGATTCTACTTTGGGCTTTTGGACTGTCTGTACTTAGCCTTGGGGTTGAAATGTATTTTAAGGTCTTCTGTGTCAAGGTCTAGCCATGGTAGAGGCTTGAGGTCTCCACAAAGAAAAGGTATCTTTGGACAAAATCAGGGAGGGGTGTAGGTGTCAAAAATTAAGTAACTGAATTATAGAGCATTACAATATATAAGAGCCTTTGTAGACCTAATCTAAATTTTATTAATAGTGCAATTAAAGGCAGTAGCCAGAGCATGTTCCATAGAACTTGCCTCTTTTTGGCTTCACTCACTCACTCAGACTGGTTCTGGGAGGAATAAATGCACCTTACATATACATTGATTCCTCTGACTATGTGGGAGACTGCCACACCCAGCAAGTGGCTGAGTTTTGCCACTGGAAATGCATGTAGATTTCCTGGGTGCCCTATATAGGTTATAGATTTATTTTATGGGTTTGTTACTGATCCTACTACTAGGACTTCTCTTCCCCTATAGATCAAGGAGATTTTTGGCAAGCTGTAAAACAGAATTTAGGAGTTGTATGACAATCAGAATTTTCGGCAACCAGTGTAAGGGATATAAGTTCAGAGGTTGAAAACTGACTCACAAAGAATTTAAACAAGTTTAATAAGATTTTTAAAATAATTAAACTAATACTACCTTTGTGAACAGATAAAGTTTCTGTCTCATTAACAGTTTTCTGAATTATCTCACTCTATTAGAGACCTCTTTGCACTACAAAACCATTGCCACCCACATCATTCTTCTCTAATATGTGTTGTCATAGCAAGTCCCCTCCAGAAAATTAGTCAAAATAGTTTCTGCTACCTATTCTATAAACTGCAGAACCAGAGTCTGGAAAACACAGTAAGTAAATTATTTATTTAACCAACTATGATCAACCAACCATAAACTATTGTGAAAGATTAACATTTCTATCACCCTGGTATTGAAAAATTTCAGACAATATAATATAAAAAGAGTTTACACTTGATTGAGAATGCCTCCATTTCACACACTTTCTACAAATTGGCAAAACAGGAAAATTCTGACCAAAAAAAGGCATTTAATCCACTATGTATATTTCATCTGGTGCTACTGAGAAGTCAATACAGCCTTAGGAAAATGCTTTCTGTATTCCCTTGTGGTTCATTCACTATCAACACAACGATGAAGAAAATTTTATGCTCAGAATTTCTTCACTATATTACTAGTAATGCATAAATCAGAACAGGGATAGTTTTACTTCAGAGACTAAGTTGAGTCTGAAGGGTTGGCTACTAGGTAATAGTATATTTTTATGTATCAAATTAAACAATTTGGCCTAGAAATCCAGTGAAAGACATTAAAGAGTGAACTGCACAATTTGATTTTACAGTCACTTTTTGCTTTTGCTTCCTGTGCATTCACCAACAAAGACCCTATTGATTTCAGTGTGGACAGAAGCAAGCCTTTTCAGTTTATTTAAAATGCCTAATTTTCAAAAAGAATAGTAGACCGATATTCATCTCACTGTACTCCCTGAACACCATTTCAGATCAGGTTTTATCTTTTCTCCATAACTACAAATAAAACATGTCTTGAAAGCACAGGTCTCTATTTAAAGCAAAAACTTTGTCATTGCCCTTCCCATCACTCCATAATTATTGCCTAAAAATATTTTTTCCCAATTTATTTTCAGTAAAAGATAATGGATTCCTTTTTTCGTACTCCATTCAGGAAACATCATATGAAATCCCACTGTCTGTTCTAAATGAGTATAGTACATTTCTTGGAAAAAAGTAGACAACTTCAATATTCATGGAAGATTATCCTATAGATAGCTGCAGTACCAAGTTCATTGGTTGTTTTTTTTTTTCATTTAAATGAACATATGTAAAAACTAATTTATAAAAATTTCCCTAGAGAACAAAATGTCAAAAATCTACCTTTTTATTAATTTCCTACTTGGAATCATATGAATAAATCTAAATCACTTCAGTAAATAAAATGCCAATTTACTTGCAATGTCATGAGAAGACTGGGAGGTTCAGGGTGGAGCCAAAAGTGTACTTGGAAATCTGAGAAAATAGTGAGTTTGTGTAACCATTTCAGTTGTTTTCTAGTTTCTGTACCTGACAAAAGTTTTAAAGCTCAGCTAGTAAAGAAGACACATTGTTAAAAAAGCAATTGTCCATTTTTATTTTGTTTACATTGCACTGAAAATTTACATCATACTTTTACAAATCCTTTTTTTCATAAAAATATACTTCTTTACAAAAGTGTATGCATTAATATAAGAGGAGTAGCCAGTCGCAGAAGAAACATATTTTAAACGATCTCAAATCTATTAACCTTAACATTAATGAATGAGTCATAGTTATTGCAGTCATTTGAACAAACAAGAATAAATAACAACTGATGGTAAAAAATATAAAACAGCATCTTTTTAGTAGAATACAGTTTGACAGAATTGTATGAATTCTCAAAACAAAGTGTTGTAAAATGGTTTATAAGAAATTCATCAAACATTTTAGAAATCCAAGCAGCAATCCTGGGTACAATGATTTTTGGTAGGCACTCTCTATTATGGTAATAAAAAGGTTAGATTTTTCACAGAGTTATTAATGTCTTAAAGGGACAGTAACAGATAATTCACACAGGCTAACATACAGAATTTGTGAGTCATGCTATAAAAGGAAGACAATGACTTACAAATAAATTATTGGAGTTGCCAATGGATAACTCTTATGAAAAAAACCTGTAAAACTAAAGATTACCTTCCTGCAAAAAATTATTTTACCATGTTTGATACTTGCCTTTCTGGGAGTGAGATTTGTATATTTTGATGGGTTAATCCTAATTAAACCATGTCTTACTTTCTTAAAAGACTGTTTGTACTGTATTGCGGCAATAAATTCAATTTTAGCTAATTATAGCGAGGGTCTGTTTTAATAATATCTGATACCAACTTGTGTGCCAAACCCAAATAACTTCCAAAGTATGATTATGCAATGGATAGGCCTGATCCAAAGCTCACTGAAATCAGTCAGTCATTGCATTGATTTCCATGGGCTTTGCATCATGCCACAAGCATGTGTATTTTGAGAAAATGAAGGAGTAGAATAATGCTGATAATGAAATATGTATAGACAGCAATATGGATTGAAATGCGAAGCCTTATGTTCTTGATATATTGATTTCGCTTTCTAGCATCTCTATAAACATTATCTTTCTAATCTGAACTTTATTAAGGTACATTTTGATGTTAGAAAAAAGTGTAAAATGGTCACTCTTCCAAATCATCTTCAACAGGAAGGAACTTTGCTGCATGACAAAGCACAATTCATATGGCGTGCTACCATCTTTTGTTATAAAACCAATGTCTACTAGCAAAAGCCAACAGGAGGGAGTATAGAGAAGTAAGACTACACCCATTATCACCTGTGTGTCTTGCTAATGAGAACAGAGGAAAGGAGCTTGACACTGAATGTGAGGACAAGGCTAGATATGAAACAAGAAATTAAATAAAATCTGAAGACCTGTCGTTTATTTTCCTTCTGCACTGTAAAAAATAGCAAGTTACATTTGTAGGTTTAAACTTATGACATGATATTGAGCAATGTTAGAAATCAACTGGTCTGATAAAAAAAGACTTGCTAAACAGGGGTGAATAACTGAAAGAATGGTACAAAGTTCAAATTTATGAGAATGAGATAGCTCGTCAATGCAAAAGAGAAGTCAGTGACCTATTATCTCCTGTAATTACAGCTCTTATTTTCTAGCCTATATCTTTTTGTTTTTAAACCCAGTCCCTCTATTATAATTTTATAAAGCACAGAAGTACTGATAGTGGATGCTCCTCCAATATATGCAAATATGTTTTATGTTTTAGAATAATCTCCTTTTTAAAAAAAGCAAATAAACTGTGAGTAAGCACTCGTGGAGTGCAGCAGATTTTCTGTAAAACTCTCCATGGTACACATGAAGAACAATTCTGTTCCAGTTTATGAAAAAAAACACTCTTGTCTATCATCCTCAGGAAAAGGTGATCCAGTATATCCTGAAAAGTGTGCTTTAAATTTTTATCAGTGAACTACGCGTGCACTGTGTTGTGTTTCAATTTCCAAACTTCTGAAGACAAAGCATTACCACATTATACCATTGTGCAAACAGTGTTCAAGTTGGGGTCAAATCGTACAGCTTTCCCTTCTACAGACTTTGCATTTGTGTCATACATGGGGTTTTCAAAAGCAGCTTGCCCGTTATTATTTTCATGTACAGAGCAGCCTGTATACTGTGTTTTAGGTGCAGTCCTGTTAAAGAAAAAACACAGGGCGTTTACAACTGGAGTTTTTCGTAGTGATCTGTGTGGCATAAGAACCTCAATAAATGGGACTATTTTCAATTAAAAATATTAAAGTTGAAAATTAATTAAAGGAAGTTGCTGGCTTTTTAAACAAGGTTACAGAAGATTATCATATTAAAATGTTATAACATGCTTATAGCTAACTGAAAATCAGCAAAAATGCAATATTGTTAAGAGCTGTTAGGGGGGAAATGAAAATGAAGGCTAAACACTGCTTGTTATCTGAGGGCAACAATAGTGAAATGGTTTTTATTTAGAAAGGTTTCAGGTTGACTAGATAGGCTATAAATATTAATAAAACTTAAATTCAGAATCTGAAGCCTTTTTATATGAGAAGTCAAGAGAACTTATTCAACTTGGATAAAAGTTGTTGTATAAAAGAAATAAATATTTGTATGCCAATAACCAAGTTTTAATCTGGAGCAATTCAAGGACTTTTTGTTCCATATTTATGACAGATACCACACTTTAGTCATGTTGACCTTTGACTGCACTGTAATAGTAATTGTTAAGACATCTGACAAGTACTGCTGTGCATACAGCTATTTAGGAGTCCCATTCCCATCCTTGATTGTTGTAGTGCAAGATCTTTTACTTATCTGATGTTATGCAATTGACTGTTAGAAAATGTTCCTTAAAAAATGAAACAGAGACATGCACAAAACTATCACTAATAATACAGTAACTCTGAGCAGAACACGGTAGTAAGCTAATCACAGTTCTATTACGAATTTGTGATGTGGAATAATTTTTCATAATAAAAACTCTCACTGACATAAGACCACATCATACGTACTTGCAGGCCCACATAAATAAGTGGGCTTTAAAATACATTAGATTAGAGATATCACTCTCAGTACTGTCACTTGCCGAATAAGAGGCAATCTTCAAAAAGCAAACACGAAAAGATGCCAGTAATTTAACCTATCCTTATTCTGCTCATAACATTTTATAGTATTTCATTTTTAAAAGGTGGGAGTGAAGGTATAGCAACCTTACTAATTAAACATTATGTCACCTCTAAGAGAATATCAAGAAACTTCTATACAGATCTTTGTGAAGGAGTTCTCAGGAAAGCTCTTGTTATCCTATTTATTATACTCAAGTTTAAGGGCACTGAAGAACTTTAAGCATATGATAATGCAAGGATTAATTTACACTTACCTTTGCTTATAAAGGTAAAACCCAAAACCTGCAAATATAAGGGCAAAGAAAGGCACAAGGATAGCAATGGCGACAGAACTACTATTTGTACCATGTGGTTGATTAGAAGAATTTGAACCTTCAGACACATTAAGACCTAAACAGAAGAAAAAAAGAAAGAGAAAGAAAAAAGGATTAGTTATTTCCAACAAGTATTACTCCAAAATTCCTCCCATTATTATTGCAAGAGAGCATTTGTGAGGACTTATGCTATATTTAGATGTGTCCAGTGATAAAAACAATTATTAGGTACAACAAGCGGGAAATGAATGGGAGGTTTGGTTTGAAAGATATTTTTTGTTTGTATGACTAAAGTTTTGAAATCCTCATTTCACACCTATTCTGGAGAAAAATTTACAAACTATCTTGTACATCTGCTAAAGACTTGTTAGTTAAAGCAAATCCTTGATCAAGCATGGTGTATTTCTCTCTCTTCAAGCCTACTAGTGATCCTTTAGTGATTCTATTAATTAATCTTGTACCAAAGTGAAATATATTCCTAGGTGATTAATCTTGTTCTTAGAAGATGGAACAAATGGAAGAAAATTACTAATTTTTTTTTAAAATCTAGAATTCTTTGAAAACCAGACGAAGTGTGAATATTTACAGTTTTCATAAGAAGCCAATAAAACTAAATTTGCCAAAACATGACTGCATTTATTTTTTAACAGATTATCCCCAAATATTTTGAAATACATGGCTTAATGAAGCTCAGATATGTTGGTCATAGCTCTTAGTCTTGTAAATGAGTTCCACCTAAAGCATCTATATTAGCAAATGCAGTGAAAGCAAAGTTAAGCTTCCAAGACTCCAGTTTAACACGACTTAAGATCATGAAAGTAAAAACATGATCTATTTCATTCCACAAATTAATAATTTGAGTATGCAGAATTTATTAAAGAATTTTCTTGGATTTTTTTAAACAATAGGAGTGAGGCAGGAAGAATGTGCTTTGGTTATAGATAAAATGATTTAGCTGAAGATGAACAATCTATTTAGGAAGACATTACAGTCACGAGAACTAATTTTCCTTGTAGAAATGCACTGTTCGGTCTATGTAGAATCCTACTACCTTAGATGCAATATCCTGCCAATATCTAAGGGGTGTTTTTTCCCCCCAACCGAGGAGAATTATTACAATTCTTGAGGGAAAGAGTACATACATTATATGTTTAACTGATAATGTTTTTCTTGTTTTCTATGCTTAAGCATTCATAAAACAAAATATTCTATTCCTACTATTTCAGGTTACGAGCCTAGCTATATTCTACCCAAACACTAATATTAAGATACAATTTCAATACAATGTTGTTCTTGTTTTCTATGCTTAAGCATTCATAAAACAGCAAGGTTTTTATTAGCAATTATAAAATGCATAAGAATAAAAAAAATAGTTTGGTGCATAATTGAATCTAGAGTGCAAAATCATGAAGTTCTTTATGACTTAAGTGAGAATTTTGAATGCAGAAGACTATCAAAAGGATTTCCAGACTGGATAGTAATCTTTATTAATCCACAGCACTGGGCACATGCTTTGTTTCTCCTACTAATTCTCTGCATAACTCATAATTTGTAACTAAATTATCATTCCATATATTTTGTTCGTAAAACAAGATCACTAAATATATCAAATGTACTTACCCACAATAGGAGCCCTCCACACTAAAGCAAGTATACTTCCCTATTTAATTTCCTGCAAACAAAATATTCTATTCCTACTATTTCAGGCTATATTCTACCCAAACACTAATACTGAGATACAATTTCAATACAAGACTTCATATGCAGTCATGCTTCAAAAGCATGAATAATAAAAAGTAGCATATGAAACAATATTGAATTATGACATAAAAAATAGTAGGTTACCTAATCTTTGAAGTCCAAATTGTCCATAATCTTTACCCTGTATAAATCCTTGGAAAACATATGTTGCTCCATCTGGTTCAGCAGAAACCTGAAAGCAGAAAATATTTATAAATATTCTGGGAATATATGGTTAGAAATAGGCCAGATGATTAAAATATGATTGGAAGTGAAATTCCTAAACTATTCTTCCCACTCCTGGCTGGGATTAAATTTATTACTGGGAGCATCTACATGAGACACTACTGCACATTTATTTAGTACTTGTATTAGCAAATTACTGCTCAGTAGCACCAGCAAATGTCCTTTAGGTGATGCTACTGAGCAGCAGTCTGATAATACTGTGCAGTACCATATTAGTACTGTCCATGCTGTGATGAGCTACAGTCAGCATCTTGTGTAGACATGTCCATAGAGTAGTTATACTTTGAACTCAGAACCTTTCACACTTATGTGTAACCAAAAAGTTTTTGGGTTTTTTTTGCCCTGAGGACATGACCTGAATTAGCATGAACAAGGGAAATGTGCTAGCCAGGGGAGTGCTACTCATATAACACAAAGATAATTTTGTCAGGTTTTTTGTTCTTTTTCACCAAGTAGTATCAAAGAAAATTTACAATGCAAAGCACACAATTTAACAGTATAATTCAGATTTCACATATATTTTTATACCAGTATAACTGCAGCCATACTAGTGATATCATACTGTTTTACCTTTACCAGTGTATACATTATAATAACAACAATATAATTTTAATACTATAGTGTATGTAAAGTAATACAAATTTAGATAAGCCGATATGCTCATACGTATAGAGAACATCAAATCCAAAATCCTTAATGTCACAGTCACCAGAAAGAGAAGTAGTGGTGGGAAGAAGAAATCCCAATTGAACAGAGTAACTCATAAAATGAGATGTATCAGTATTTAGGCACAGATGACTTAAATTCAATGCGTTTTTAGACCCATATGATCTTACCTCTCCACCAATTCCAAAATCTACCTAAATTGTGGCAGCAGCTCCTTTAAACTTGCTCTTTTTGGTGCGTACCACTACCTCTCCCTCCTACTGCTGTTTGCTGGAAGGGATAGGGGTTGCCACTTGTTGCTGATCAGCTGGCAGGCAAAAACTGCAGCTTTAAATATGCTGCAGTTTTTGCCTCCCGCTACTGACTGGCTAAGGCACCGTGGCAGCCATGCCACTTGCTGCTGATTAGGCAGGAGGCAAAAACCGCAGGCTGTTTGAATGTCTGTACTTAGCCTTATGGAACAATTCTCCTCTTGGAAGTTTATCAGCATCCCAAATGTCTTAGATTTTGTCTCTCCTTTTCCTCCATATGGAACGTGCTAAATCTGGTTCATAAATGCCCCAGAGCCTCCCCACTGTCTGGAAGCTCTGGAAAGATTTGGAACCATTTGTTTAGGTTTCTCACCCACATGATATTTCACTTTATCACATACTGACTCCCTACTACTGCTGTGTCATTTTCATGAAGTATTTTATTCCATGTCTGATATTTTGCTTCCAGCAATAAAGCAAGAAACATAGTAGTACATTCTGCATAGAAAGATTATTCAGAAGGACGTATCAAAATGGAAACACTCATCTTAACCTTATAAAAACATGTATTCTAAAACTGAGAATACTCGCAATTATTGTACTACAGTAAAAAATAAGGATAATTTCATAGATTTCATAGACATTAGGGCTGGAAGGGACTGTGGAAGATTATTGAGTCCAGCCTCTGTCGCAGGGGCAGGAAGTCAGCTGGGGTCAAAGGATCCAAGCAACATAAATGTCCAAACGTTTCTTAAAAGTATCCAGAGTAAGTGCTTGCACCACGTCTGGAAAAAGTCTATTCCAGGCCTTGGGAAATAATGATTTATTTTGGGTGTCTTCCCTTCTATCAAATTACCACATCTATGCAAAGAAGGGTTTGATATCCTTCTATAGTAATATACACATCTTCCCCATCAACTAGCCCACCCCCATCTGCAGTAGTACAATTGTATTTTTCATTTTATTAAATCAATTAGCATTACTAGCAACCTTTCATTAGATAAGTTTTATGTTATTCTCATCTAACACACAAACATTACTCCATATTTAAAATGGTCCTGTATTAATAGAAATATACTCACAAAACCATCCATAGCCCATTTTTCCTCTTTCATTTTGCTCACAGTTGTATGAGATGGTGCTTTAATGAGATATATATGGAGCATCAGACGGGCTTCCTGGCTTTTATACACGCCTGTTAAAGATAAAATGGAGATATTTTTAACCTACTTAAGGTGATAACTATTATTTTAATAGTAAACCCCTCCTTGCATAAAGCTAAAATTTGGTAGTATATCTAGTCAGAATATTTTCAGTGGAATTTCCCTTCTACCAAATAAGCTGTTTTGTTGAAGCTAAAATACTTCGTGCAATCATACTAGTTACCATAAAAAAAAACAGGAGAAGGGGTACTTTCCTCCCCATCTTCCCCCCCCTGCAGCATAGCTGTGAGGTTAGGCTTGAGATGTGGAAGACACGGGATAAGTTCTTAACTTTATCTGACCTGAAAAGAAAGAGTCTGTTGTGAACTGGGCACAGGGAACCCAAACCTGAGACTCACAGATCCCAAAGTTTGTATTCTACACCAACAGTACAAGAAGTGACTGATTCATACACATACAAGCTTTATTTTGGGGGAAAAAATTTTCAAAACTTTTCATTTTTTCCTCTAGTGACACATCAAATGGGATTGTCCTCCTCCTGTTAATTTTGCAAAATTGTGATTTCACTGAGTTGAAGAACTTCTATATATCATTTAATTTGAATGCTGGCAGAATTAACAGGTAATTTTATAACCTGCAGAAAAATGTTCAAAACTCCAGTTATGTTATATTTATTGTTAACTTCTAGTTTGAAATTACAATGAAAAGTGTGTTTAATGAATTTATCTGTGCAAAAGATAGCAATGAAAAAGATAGACTTCACTAAAAAGTACAAGTTGCTTAATAATTCTGTTAAGTAATGGTATGAAACATAAATATTTGGCCTATAGTATTCTTAGTTTTCATTCTCCATTTAACTATTTCTGTATCCTACATCATTTATGCTCATTACACAGCCAGACAAAGATATTTAAAAAAATATCAGTGACAGTAATACTGACTATACAATATTACTATTAAAGTCAATGGGATATGCTAGTATTCAGTGTCTCTAAACATTCAAATCACATATGGATCTTTATTTGCATTTTTTCAGTCTTCTTTAAATAACAGAAAATTATTTATAAGTTTCCTGAGATAACTCAAAATGCTAAGGCTATGATAGGCATATCTTTTTATAGGGATGTAATAGGCATATCTTTTATATCCTATGACAGATTTCAATTGTAAAATGGGCACTAAAACCACACGTTAAAGTAAGTTCAGGCATAGATTGTAAACTCTGGCTTCAAAGTCTGGGAACCTTACTTGAATAGATATGGCAGGACATAAATGTAGTTACATCCTGCATTTTCTTTCAAGCCACGTAACCCTGTCAGCTCTTCTGAATTAACAATTATTTACATGAGAATGATATGGTAGGAGAGTAGAATCTGTCCCTTTCAATTTAAGTGAACATAAACATAATTTGCTGCTCCCCTCCACATCTGAAATAAATTCATGCAATGCAAAGATGTCGTGTTAAAGTGTTATTTGTGTTCCATATCCTCAAATTCTTGGATATGAACAATTTGATGCTAGTATCTCCTTTATGAAATTAAAGGCAAGGAGAATGCTATTTTGTCTATAATGTCTTTAATTAGGGTACTTAATGCTTCCTTTTAGACAGTTTTGTAATTCTCAATGTCTTGCATAAAAAGATATTTTGTCTACTGGTAAACTCACAAATTTCCAATCTTGCTCAAAAACTTACCATTTTAATTTATGGTTATCAGGAAAATAAGAAAAGAACAGCTCCAGCAACTTTATATCTACACTGATTCCAATCAATCCTGCTTCAGATCTTGGTATGCTATGAAATTTTCTTGATTCAGTAATTAATTTCTTTTGGTGTTGGACTACGGTAATTTTTTTCCCTCATGATATTAGAACTGTCAGCGGTGTTGCAATTTACTAATTTGCTTCTGAAACCTTGAGGGCTATGTACCGTAGCCTCCTAGTACATTCAGTCCCTTTCTGTGAAACCACAGAGACTTCTGCTAGACAATGTTCAACTTGCAAAATGGCTCTCATTTTCAGAGTCCCACAGGCTTGCATTGTATTACTCTTCCTGTTGAGTGTGAATGAAAACTGAAGCTGGTTACCAATTTTTGGCCAAAACCAGACGCAAGATTATTTTCCATACATACAGGCAACACACGCATGCCCATTTGTTGTTAACTTAGTGTGAAACTACAATTAAAATGTGTGTGTGTGTAGCACGTGTATTTTGTGTGTGAAAATCATGATCCCTTAGTTTTCCAACAAGCTGCAGTGAAAGGCTATTCAGTAATGGACTACATGGATCACAAACCAGGTTGCAAACGAAAGCTTTTTATGATAAACCACATGACCAAATGTTTTAACATCCCTAAGACTATCTTGATTAGAAAATATCCTTGCGTTTAGGTTGGATACAACTTAGCAAACACTAGGTAACTGATATAGAGCTATTTTGTTAATCAAGACAAAAGCCATGGTGGTGAGATGGCACCGTGAATGTGTCCTCTTTCCTCAGTTGAACTGGTATCATCCATGTCAGGTGGTCTGTCTGGTTCTGTGCACTTGCTTTGTGGAAGAACAGACCTTATGTACTGGGAAAAGTGCTGGTCCACTAGAAAGAGGAGTGTCTTGAATGTTTTGGGGGATAAGCACTAAGCTACCTAGGCAGACAGGAAGATGGGACTTCTGCTAGAGTTCCTGAAAAGGTTAGTTTATAATCCACTGCTGGTCTTGGAAAAAAGTGACAGGAGCAATGTTGGTGCTACGTGAAACTGGGCTTTTTGTGTTGTGAGAGGTAATTCAGCAGAAAAAAAAAAAAAAAAGGAGAAACTTCATGTTGCCAGACAAGCTTTATAATAGGAGGGTTGGCTGGTGGTCAACAGACTTTATGAAGCATTGGTGCTACTAAAACTCTGAAGTATGGAAGAGGAAAGCTAGGATGCTAAAACTCCCTTTGAAGTGTTAGTACTGTATCATAGCTTAGTTTCACTCGAGTGATGTTCCAAAAGCCAGTACCATGTATATGTGAGGGATTAGTGTAGGAACACGCACACACAAATTGGCAAAGTATTCAAATCATGTTTACTGGAGATTTACAGAACCTTTCAGATCACCTTCATTTTTTACCTTCCATTTCCCTAGGCACCTATAGTTTTTCTAGTTATGTAGATAAACCCCTCAGACTTGATGGGTCCAGTTTAGTAGCTCTCTCACAATGAAACCTGTTTAGGATCCCTCAAGTAGATATTCCCTACCTTTATTGCCTGTGGGGCCCAATCCATTATAGTATATAGAGTATGGTTTCATACAGACTTAAACTAGTGACCAACATTTTTAAAAATATGATCAAAATTGGATGTGCTCCCCTATTACAGCATAGTTCTAAGTTGTTTGAGGCTAGTTGTTAGAGGCTAGTTTTTATAGTATTGGATGTAGGAGGTCCAAGTTCAATTCTACCTCTGTTTGAAGAGATTCAGCAGTAAATTTCTCCCCTCACTGGACAGTCCCCTAAATCTCAAGTTACAGTTTATTGTGGAATAGAGGATATTCACAACACTTCCCAGTACAGGAATGAATATGTTATGCCCAGATAGAAAAAATAAGAGGAAGACCAATTCTATAGTGCAACAAGGGGAGTCCTGGGTTCCAAATTGTTTATGTATTTTTTTCTTCATGTAAAATGCACTAGTATTCGTTAGAGTAGGAAGGAGTGGGTACTCTAACCTCTTGGCTATTAAATGGAGAGGGAGGGAGGGGGAACATCAGCAGTTCTATAATTACATTAAGAAAGGAAGAGGAAAAGAAAAAAGGAAAGCCTTGCCATATTTAAAGGAAGGGCAATATACCTGCTTTCACAAGATAATTCTGGGCTGTGGATCCTAGGCACAAATAAATGCTTCCCTGAAGTCCTCAATCAGGCATCTGAGTCTTGAAGATACATTGGATTTAAGAATGGCTGCTGTCCTTGGTTTTCTGTATTGGCTACTTCTAGTGGATTCCTACTCAAATTACATTCCAGCAGCCAGGTGCCTACAAGTTAGGCATTATGGCACTTAGCATTACAGCATTTTTTGAATTAGTTGATTGTATGAAAGTTTGTGTAATTCAATTATTCTATTCCTTGTCTTAGGATGGGAGATAGTGCTTTACCTCATAGGAAGACTGTGTAAATGAAAACCATTAATAACTGAGGTGCTACGGTGAGGAGGACCATACAGCACCAGACAGATAAACAAGAGTGGAAAAAATGTATGGGGATTTTCACAAACTCCTTTATATACAAATGAGGAAGCAACAGGTCAATTGAGGCCTGAAGAAGATTTTAAAGTCTATTGTGACTATGAGCAAAGAAAGGGTGTCTTTAATTACAAAGTAAGCCCATTTCTGCACATGAAATTACCTGTCTATACTATTGAAAAATCAGGTCCTTTTATTTTTGGGCCAGATCACTTTCACTATTAATTTTAAAAGAAAGAAGAATCCTCTTGAAATTCAACCCAGATGTGAAGAACCCTTTGGGTAATGCACCAGTGTCCTGGCTATTTTATTCTGGGCCCTAGTTATAATACTCAGAGTTTCAAAACCAAATATTTTTAGGCTTAATAACACAAACTTTTCCTTGAGTATCTTCATACTGCTATGGGAATGCACATCAGTCTTACCATACCTCTTAATAGCTATTAAGACATATCTTTTAGAAGGATGTGGCAATTTGTGCAATTTCTAGTTATTAAGAAAAAGGATGATTCTTTGAAATCAGTATATATTGCAATCTTGGGAAATTAAAAAAGTGAAGAAAACCAATTCAGGAAGATATTCTATTACCAGTCAATTTCTCTTAGATTGCAAAGGCACTTTTTGTAGCATTATTTTAGTAGAAAAATGATAAGTATTAAGCATAAAATTACAGGGAACAGCCATGAGACCTGTAAATTCAAATGAGTTTTTCTGATATAGTACCTGAAAGCAGCAGTTCCATGTTGCTGTTGGTAAGTGTGGCATTTACTCTACCCGATGATGCATTGAAACTGGTAACTGTCAAAGTCATGGGCTGTTTCTTGCCTTTATAATTATAAGACCCTTTCCATATGTAATTCTGGGCAAATACATCATCAGGAACTGTAGAAATAACAAAAACATGTTAATACTTGCAATATTTAGCATGTACTATATAAAACATCTAAAAATGCATTAACGATGAACATTTTCTCTTTACTTCCTTGCTACTGTATATGTCACCAGAACTTCTGGCTATGGTTATTAGAGAAAATCCTTTCACAGAAGGAAGAAAAAAAAGGAACGATCATTATACAATAAACAGAGATACTTAAGAACCCATTTACATTTATACCTTCATTTGCCCTAATCTTGACATCTGAATGTACGTTCCAATATAAAGTTAAGGACACAAAGTAATATAAATGATGCGTGTAAATCTCTCTCCTTAAATATTAAAAAACATTTTTTTGGAAACATTCAACTGATATTATACCCCAATAACTACTTTTCTTGTTCTCAAATCTCATTATTCTTAAATTTAGAAGAAAAGTTACAGAAGAGGGTGAAAATGGGGAGAAATTCAGATGTACCTCTGTATATAGTTTTCTAACTAGAGGGAACATTAACCAAAGCCTGCGCATCACCACTTTTCAGAGCAGTATAAGGCCTTTTAATAAGGGCAGGGTTTTAGGAGGTAAGATGAAGTACCAGGTATTCTTTGGGATATTGTTTTATTATTTTATATTTATTTAAAGTATTATTTTTTAATTATTATTTTTATGCTAATATTATTTGTTTTGTTGTAAACTGCTCTGAGACTTTTTGAGCAGAGCAGCATAAAAACAAACAAACAAATAAATAAAAATGAATAAAATAATGTTGAGTGGCTTCCAGTTTAGTATGTGGGTCTTTAATATTGCCTTCCTGAGGTCCCTTACCCTCTCCTATTCATAGCGTTGGAAGCCTAAGCACTTAATTCTTGATGTTGTATTCCACTATGGTGGCCAACCACCTAAAAGGGAGATGTCATAACACTTGCAAGTTCCAAGTTCTTTATTGTATCCAGCCAGTAGTTCCTACAGTTATCAAATGCAAAAGTAATAGTGTTGCCTGGCCAAGAGAGATAGTGGCTGTTATCAAGCATGCCTTTGAGATATAGACAGTTACAAATCTTGTGAAAGCTACAAATGATGCTAGCAACTTTTCACTCTGGGTAAACAAAATGAACAACTTTGTTCCTTTATGTAACAGAAGCCACTAGTCCATGCACTGGGCCACACAGGAGGATCTGGTAAGAACTTGTTCAGGGAGAGTAAGAGGGGTTGTCCAGGGGAGTGGAAAGGAGATTACAAATACAGAGACTGGGGCATAGCTCATTTACAACTTAAAGGTACACCTATACTTGTTAGCTCAGGTTTCATAGATTTCATAGACCTTAGGGCTGGAAGTGACCTTGAAGATCATCAAGTCCAGGAGGAAGTCAGTTCGGGTCAAAAGGATCCCAGCAAAATAAGCATCCAGGCTTTTCTTGAATGAGTCCAGAGTAGGTGCCTGCACCACTTCTGAAGGAGTTTATTCCAGGTCTTTGGGACTCAGACAATAAAGATTTTTTTTTTTTTTATGTCCAACATATCAAACTTCAGCATCAGATCCCCTCCTGACTCAATTTAAGTCATAGTCCCCCGGCATCCCAGAAGCCTTTGTGGCTCTCCCACTAAGCCCTCTCACAGGGCAGCAGGCTAGCCATGGCTGGTGCTCAGCTGCTTCTGGGCTCTCACAAAGCCCATCCTCCTGCCTGCGGCTGTCACAGTGGCAGGGCAGAGTGGGGAGAGTCCCCACTGCATGGCACCGCAGCTGTACTGGCTCTGACTGTCAGCTGTGTGAAGGAGGGGAGTGGCACAGAGGTAGGATGGGATGGGCTACACCCAAGACAATGGTGACCCAGGATGCCCCCCCTCCTTTCCCAGCCTGTCCCAGCAGGCAGATCCACCTGTGCTGCTGAGGGCAGGGCATTGTGGATGTCTGAGGCCATCTGCAGCCACAAATGTGCCCTCAAGACATGCTGGCACTCAGCAGCTCCTGAGTCAGCAGAGGTACCAGGAGAGGGGCAAGTGTGGCTGGGAAGCACAGTGGGCTGTCGGCCTGTAGGGCTGTCCCTAACATACACCTCCGGGGGTGAGGACAGGCCACAGGCAAAGCAATGGGACCCAACTTCAAGGATGCTGAACTGCTTCACGCAGACAGCACTCCACTGCCTCCTGCCTTGCAGTGCTGCCTAGGCAGCCAGCTCTGCCCTGCCAGGCCCTACCCTGACCTGTCTTGATGCTTGCCTAGTGAGGTGCCTGCCCTGCAGCTATGCCAGGGGAGTCCCCTTGGGGTGGGAGTTGTGGGCTTAATGCACCACTCCCTGGGGACTCCCACCCGGGCAGCAACTTGAGTCAGCACCTTCCCTACCTGCAGCTCAGGTGGCTCCACTGGCCCTGAGCAGGGGCATGTGGCAGGAGCTAGGGCTGGCACCTTGTTGGGCAGCAGCTGCTGCGGGGGGGGGGGGGGGGG